ACTACCCTAAATATACTGAACTATACTGAACTATAAAGCATACTACGCATTTATTTCGTTTAAACAGATGCTCACGCGCAACCTAATATTTCTTTAAACGGCAGCACTGTGTTTTTATAAAGTATGGTCCCCGGGCCCTAAATATACAATTGATTTATTTATGTCATGAAAAACAGTAGATTTCTCAGGAGATATCGTCATGGCGATGAAACAGCCTGAAGGTGCACTGAGCCGCAGTAAGGGCGCATTTCCTAATTCAGATTCCTAAGTTCTACGGGATTTAGACAACGATTTTCTTTGCGTAACAGCTAACACTAAAAAGAGGAAAATCGACAACTCAACTCCAGATCAACTGCCCGATACAGGCATGATGAAAATATTACCAACCATCCGAGATTTTAAAAGGTAGGAGGCAGCATTCATGGACCATTCTGGAGTATCTTGCTTGTCTTACGACTGCCTGAGCTCTCAATAAGACTTCCGTTTTGTGATAGTAGTGGACTTGCAGAAATTATCCCACCCAAAGGTTCTAAGCTGTTGGCGTAATGGAGATCACGCGCACCGTTCTGTTAATCGGGTCAAACTAAAATCAGTGCCACTTCCAACTTTTAAATGTCATGTGGACGTACGAAAGAGCTGTAGGAATTCATATGTATTCCTATAAACGATTGTTAAAGAAACATCTCCACTGTCGCTCATTTAGTTGGTTTCATTCAGACAAGACATAATTTCCTTTCAGATGTCCTTCTGTGAATAACTTAAAGTTGGGACGAGAATCTGTTTTTGTGATATCTATTGTGTTTGAATGCTTAGCTAAGGCTTGGAAAAGGAAAAGAAAACGACGGCTACACATTTTCCCCATAAGACACGTTTGTGAATGTGTGTGAGATTTTTTGAGAGCAATGTCAATTCATGTAGGCTGACCCAGAACAAAATTATGACTACCAGCATTGCCATCGTAGAGGTCATGACATCGGGGACAGTATAAATCTCCGTTGGTTTTATGAAATGCGAATCTTTGTGCATTTGTACGCGTGCTGTTCATTTGCTTAGTCCACAGTATTTGCCAAATAGTTTGGACTATTATTTTAAATGAGGGCCGGCATGGATGGGATGTGTCTTAATCGGTATACTATACAACTTGTTTCTGTTCTTTATTCAGTTGCTAACGCGCAGCTGTGATTACCAACTTTGTAGTAATTTAAAGCGCAAATCTAGGTTTTGAATGAATTGCCCCCTGGGACCATGATATACAATCCGTTTATTTGTGTTCGTTTTAATAGACAACAATAGCAGATTTATGTAGAAATGGCCTCAACGCGAAGATACCTCCTCAAGGCGCAGTGATCCACAGAAAGGGCTCATTTCCTAACCCCAATTGTTATGTTCTACTGGCTGTAACCAGAGACTCTTTTTGCGAACAACTTAAAATTTTGTCGAGAATCTGACTTTGGGGTATTTATTGTGTTTGGAGATAGAAAAGAAAACGACGGCTAGAAATGTTCTGGCTAAGACACGTTTGTGCACGTTTGTGTGAGAATTTATGAGTTGTATGTCAATCCATATAGCCTGACCCACAACAGAATTTCTACTACCAGCATTGCCAACGCAGAGGTCAGTACATCGGGGTCATCGACGGTAGTTCTATGAAATAAGAATCTTGGGTGCATATGTTCGTTTGCAGTTCTCTGGAGGACACGCAATGCCTTCATTGTTTTGTTTTTATTGCAAGGATATCTGGTCGCCTGAACTGCCAGACTAACGGAAAAGGAAGGAGACATGGATTGGTATAGAGCACTATCAATTTGATATCCAATTCTATATCTGTTAAACCTTTTTTTCTGCGAGTTGAACATGATGCCTATATCAATTTCTTTTGATGAATATGGGGGGGGATGCCGTGTCTCGCTGAAGTCAAATTCTGATGGCGAAAGAGTCAATCAGTTACACATGCGCAAGTGAAGGATGTCATGTCACTTTTACTTCTATTACACAGAACGTCGCAGCTGGGATCATTGAATTACTCCTGCAAGACAAGTTAAATGAAACGGTGATTGCCTCATTCGCACCCACATGCTCCAGCTCTTGAAGTCTCTCTCTGGACGTACTTGGGGTTTGACTAAACAGTCTACGAGAAGGTGTAAGGCACGCCAATGTGTTTGCCAATTTCAGAATTCAAAGATTTGACTGTACTGCAACGACTTTAGTCACTAGATATGCCGATATTCTGGTCATGGCATGTTGATGAGACATTCGTCCACGTTGGACAATTTTAGCTGCTGGAAGTCTTTCCAGAAATAGCATTTACTATGGAGGAGGTAGAAAACAACTAGGCATATATTTGGGGACCTGGCAACACCTTAAAGTTCGATGGGGTCAGTAGCACGCAAGGGGTGTTACAACGGCGTGAGCTGCGGGCTTCTTAAGTCACGCTTCTCCGGTCCGCATTCAATCTTCAACCGAAAGGACCTCTCGCCGCCGTATTCTATACTGCAATATAGTCTGGGAAAAATTACCAGCCAAGCAGAAAGTATGCATGTGACCAGCATTCACGGTGACAGCGAGCTTAATGGCCGAATAATCATCACGCTATAAATCAACAATGACGATGAACTCACGGAAATAAGTTAATATGACGTGGACTCAAGAGAAGGTGCTATTCCGAAGTGATGATCGCGAGTACTGCTAAATATAGTAGGCCTGTGGTGGCCTTGCTATCGCGCCCTGCACACCTGTTGCCCCCCACTACCTTCGTCCGCGACGAACTCTGATGATGGTTTCCAGTTTGGATCCGAAACGTCAGGCTACCTAAGCTCTGATGATAGTACTCGTGTCTCCGTCTTTGCAATCAAGAAAGGCAGTCACAGACAAAAATCTTACCTGCCACGCCTGTATCGCGTAAACCACAGCTTCCGCAGGAGATCTTTGAAATCCTTCGGGGTGGGTAGCGCGAGACTGATAGAAACCAAATACTTGTGCACCTCTTTGATAGTGGGACTGTTCATGAGAGCGTCGAGGAAGGTGTCCTGCTCCTTCTTTTCGGCCGGCGTTTCCTGTTCGCTCACGCCTACCTCCGCCTTATAGTTGTCAAGCAGGGACTTGAAGGCTGTTTAAATGAGACCAAGATTAATTGCCCACGCAGAAGTGTACATGCAGTATCTGGCCTAACTCAGGAAATACGAGGGTTGAGAGTTGACGGAGGGAGGAGGCTTAACACACACTTGAGGTTGTTTACTTCATGCACTCAAAAGTTTTGAGCCGCCAAAATCTGTCTACTACATAAATGTTCACTTCAGTTTAATATATTGAGTGAAAGGGTGGGTCAACGCTGGTTACATCTAGCGTTTCTTGCTACTCAAATAATTTTTTTATGCTATTGAATGCTAAGGACCAATATTTCTTGTCTGTGCGTGTTGTACTATAAAACAGCATTAATAAATATCAGAAACGTTTTAATGGTATCTGTTCAGATAAAAAACATTTCGTGTTGCTTTTATGAAGCTGAGGGAAAGGCAAGTAAAAGATAACGCATTATCTTCCGAAAAAAGAGTGAATTTAGTTTAAAAAAATGATGATTAGCGAATCTCCTACTTTTTGTGCTGTAAGGTAAATTAATAAACCTATAAACTGTAAGATATTTTATTGTGCAAAAAATAGGGACCGTTATCAATAATATATATGAACGTCCGCGAAATGTCATCAGTTCTCTTTTTTAAGTCGTATGCGAAAAATTTGCAAACATGTACTGAATACAGAACAGAATCCATTAATAGAAATATTGAAACTGAACGAGTAGATAATGATTCGTGTTCTCCAAATCGTTATTTATATTCTGCCAATCTGCTATCCTTTCGCAATGTTAGAACGTGGTGTTTCTTCTTATAACTTGTTACTCTAGTAGGCGTAACATTTCACCAGACAATAATTGTGTATTTCGTGGTCATAGTTACAGTGATTTTTTGCGTTTTCAGAGGTTGAGGCTTCTTTAAATTATTGGTACTTCTAAACAAACAATTTGTACTTTTTATATATTTCCCAGGCATTTTAAATTCGCTAACGATCTTCACTATTTTTGCAATTTATTCGAACGTAAGTTAACACCGGTTTGTGAGTGATTATCAATCTTTAACAGATTTAGGGATTAAACATGAATTAGGGCCAATTCTGTGTCTTACGGCAAACGACAAGAATGAAATCGAGGACCCTGGGCGCCGATATGAGTATACCTTAGCGAAAACAAACAAATCTCTCCAGTAGGTTTAAATAGTCTGGTCACTTTCTTAAGTCAGTGCCCTCATGAAGAAGTTTGATCATGGCGGAATCAGCAGGAAATTTGAGTTACTCACCAGTGTACACTGGCGACGTTTTCAATTTCTCAGCTGTCACTTTGCAGAGCTTTGCAGGTGATTGATCCTTCACACGGTCGCCTCGGTTTACTTCACCTGAAGTGACATATCAATGGGTTAGCACGAATTAAAATAATAATAATAAAAAACATAATTATTAGAGGACGCTTAAACTGCCAATGCAGCACTCGTACCACCAAAGACGTGATAACGTCATTAAAAGAATTTTGAACAAGTATATACAATTAAAATGATCATAATTAATATGTTAGATGTCAGACTAGCCTCCTCATGGGTTAGTTAAACACAAAAGTAAAACCAAAAAATGAGTGAAAAAAATGAAAATAAAAATCCAAACGAAAGGATTACCTTGCCAGTTAAGTGTCAACGCCGAGCCGACATCAACTCTGTTTTGATCACTCGTCCAGAGCTTCGTAAATAGTCCATCCACAGTGACATCCCTGAAATTAATAAGCAAAGGTTCAGCGTGTGTCTGAATTGATAATAGTGCAGATCTACACCTTGAATATACTACAAACTATGGAAGTGTTTAAAAAGCGCAGAAGTCTCAGTAAAAGCCGACTTGCTACGATATGTTGCTTTAAATACAGTGTGGTGTATAAGGCCGTTTTTTTTCACTTAATTATTAAAATTATTCAAGAGAAGAAAATGCGACCACTGGAACAAGAGTTTTATTTTCCAGATGTTTCGAATTCCGTTGCGAATCCTTAATCATAGGTACTGGTAGGATAATCGGATCCATGTGCAGATAAGTGTGAAATATGCACAGATTTCACGGTATTTCTAGTTCATAGCGGTCATCAGCGTGCGTTCTATAATCATCCGTCCGTCCCCTGTAGCCACCGTTGGGGTCTTAATTGGAGCGGTGATGACTTCACACTTCGCGTTCGGCTCATTAATTGCCGCGATTTCCTCTTCCCTGTCGGATGCGGGTTTGATAATTGCGTGACAATTGTGCTTGCTCTCGTCCGAGCTTTTGCTGTGCCCGGCCCTTCCAACGTGGTTGATTACCCGGCTCAGGCAATTTTTCAGTACGCAGTATATACATGTCAAA